GCAAAATCTGGTTGCGGCGCGTGCGAGCGAGTGAGTCGAAACACGAGCGCGGGTGCCCATCAGAACACTTCACCCGCCCGCCATTCAGGGAAAAACGCTGGCGCATCGATCGGGTAGATGCACCGCACCGCGAACGCGAACGAGATGGGGAGGGCGTCGCGGGTGCGGGAGGGTGGGATACGGGACGGGGAACGGCGTGGGAGGTAGGTGGAAGTAAGACGCGGGGGGGCGGGCGTGGATGAGTGGTCGACAGCCGGGGGAGGCGGGTGCAATGAGAACGGGTGGCGGGAACGGCGGGTGTGAAGTCCGTGGGCGACGACGTGGTGATGTGCAGTCCGTGGTCCGCGGGCGATGATGGACGTGCGCATGGGGTCGAGGGAGATGGCGATGGGCGGTCGTCCGAAGTGGATTAATGTTGGGCGGGGTGGGGAATGTAAAACGCGGGTGTAAAATCCAAGGCCAGGCGGCGAGGAGCGTTGAGCGGAGGGGTGAATGTGCAGCGTCGGGTAGAGAAAGCGTAGCGGTCGTCCGTGTGTATTGTGTATTGAAGGGCAGGCGCAGCAGGGCCGGGTGTCCAGCACTGCGTTTTACCCCGTTTTTTCGGCCGGCCGTTAGATGGCCGATCAAGCCATTTCGGCCAATATTTCGGCCATTTTCATAAAGGTGGCCGATACAGGTTTTCCGCCACTCAAACGGCCGTTCTGGCGGCCGGCCGTCAAGGCTATGCGCACTCCAGACTTCACGATCTCAACCTCTAAGGCAAAGCGCGTCGCGTCACATTCGTGACACATCCTCACACTTCTTGACCATAGCCGTCATGTCCGTCCTCGTGGACCTCATCCCTCGTCTCAATCGCCCATGGGCGGCCTCAATGCTATCTCATCTCATTCCTAGTGCTTATAGCCCTCACTAACCCGACTTTCAGCCCGTTTGTAGCCTTCCAGCGCGCGGAGGGGGGCCTTACTGGTGGGACGCAATATCGACTCATTCCTCAATTTTCTTGACTCAAGCAAGCTTCTTAGGAGTCTTAAAACACTGTTAAAGTGCTACACAATGATCCTTGAGCCCAACATACGCGTCAATATGCGAGATTCTTGGAATGAGACTGACCATGGCTCCCGGTGCGTCGTCGGTGCCCCCCCATATCTCTGACTGCTTCCACAGACTCCCATGGATCTCCAAATACGATTTGTTTCTCGTCTAGATGATGCTGGCGCCATTTCTCAATTGCGGTAAGTCGGAAAATTTCCCTACGCTCATGACACTTATTGGTCCAAATTGTTGGTGTAGCAAGGCCCGCCACTCCCTCATAGGAGCCCTCCGGTATCACTGCGACACCAACTGCCTTCCCAGCCTGCGCCGAAGATGTATATTACTCTGCAGCCGGTACGTCGGTATTTCGCCACAAATATCTGAAATATTTCGCTAATTGTTCCCTGGAACTGTAGCACGCATAGCGCATCACCCAAACGACGTTCTCCTCGACCGGCATCCGCTCGCGATCGCTTATGGGCGCAACCGACAATTTCTGCACTCGTGGTCTTGATCGGTATGTCTCGTATTTGGTCCCTTCGCACTCGCGCTGATTGATACCTTTCCCCTTTGCATAAAGATATCTTTTGGTTTGTTCCGACATACGTATATATGCGCGATGGCGCGTGTCGCGCGCGCACACGAGGGCGAGCGGTGGTAGGATGCATTGAGGTGTCTGCCAGTATCGGGTAATTATCCCTCAATTCCCTTCAATATCATGTACATCGTGTAACTCTTCTTACTTCTCAATGTTCCATTTGCTGCCTCCCAAATTCCCGTCGATAGCCATTGCGCATTGCGGGAGCAGTGAATTTAATTCAATGATCAATATCTGGTGGTGGATGGAGGTGGCCGAAAATGTGGCCGTTAAAGTGGCGGCCGTGTGGTCGATCGTGGCCGAAAACGTACAAAACGACCAGATGCCGGCCAGCCGATATTTTGGCCGATATTTTGGCTGCGGTGGCCGGAAAAGCGGAAAATGGCCATCAAACGGCCGGCCGAAAAAATGGGGTAAAGCGCAGTGTCGAGTAGCGCACATATCGTTCAGCGAAACAAAGGAAACAAAAGAAAAATCAAGAACCCAATCAGTCCCTCACCCAAAATTCAAAGGAAAAAACGCACAGTACAATTGCGCACTACTCTGAATCCCATTCCCGCCCCCGCCCCCACCACTACTATTATTGCCACCCCCAGTACCGGCATCGCCGCTGGAGGTGCCGTTGTTGCCGGGGAGGGCGGTGACGCCGGGGTCGGTGGCGGTGGAGCCGGTTTGGGAGTAGACGGTGAACGGGGGGATGGAGCCGGTGGGTGAAGAGGTGCTGGAGGCGGAGCGGGACGGGCGGGAGGTGGTGCTGGTGCTGGCCATGGTGTCGTGAGGTTGTTGGTGTCGTCACTTGTTGTGTGTCTGTCCGGTGCTGCTGAGGACGAGAACCAGTAGCAGAATGCGGCTAGGGTAGGGTTTGTGGTGGCCTAGCGCCGAGCGCAGAGCAGAAAGTACGAAGGCAAGAAGGCAACGCCGGCGCAGAAAGATTCCTTGCTTGCTCGAACGAACAAAAGACGGCGGCTATCGTCAAGCCCTTGTCTTCCTCTTCCTATTCTTGTCCGTCTTGTGTTGCCGCAGATCCGTCGTCGACAACGCTGAACAGGCGGAGGCGGAGTGGGTAAACAGAACACGACAAGTGACGCATCGGCGATCGGCGTTACCGCTTTGGGATGTTTTGTTCAACTTAGGCAGCGTGGGTTCTGACTTCTGGTTCCAACTTCCAGTCGCGGTCTTGTCGCGGTCCAAGCTTTCGGGTGCCCGAACGATGATATTTTCTGAACATCATTCATTTTGATTTCAACTTTGGGCGTCTAGACTCTAGACTTCGGTTGAAACGTTAGTTGAACAGTAACTTAAACGGGTTTGCTTCACCGGAAACTCAAACCTCCCGCGCATCTTCCTTCATTTCATCCATCCATCCATCCATCCCTGGGCCTACAGGATGGATGCCCGGCGGGCATCACGGTTTCAACTCAAACTATAAATATCGCACCTCCGCAAATTCCGTGATTGAACAGTATTTTTCGCACCCACCAACCCACGCCCCAACCCTACCGCAACAAGCAGTATGGTGTAATGTCTGCACACGGGACCCGCCTACACTGCAAGGCACCCACCAAAATTGAATCCCGAGGTCCTTGTTCGAACCAAGGTGCTGCTCTGTTACCGTCGAAGCCCACCGCTTTTTGCCCCACAACCCGCTCAATTTCTGGTGCATTTAAAAGAAGCAGTATCGTATAACACTGCGCACAGCATTCTATTAGTTTATGGTCATGGTAAAATTAATCCTGGGGTCCTTGGCCGCCGCACATGGGGTTCCATTAATACATTTTGTCTCCCCGATAATAACCCCGAGGTCCTTGTTCAAACCAAGATACTGCTCTTCACCGCCGTTCCCTGTTTTACCTCACAACTCAATTTCTGGTGCATCAAGAGCGGTGAAATAAGGGAAGGAAAGCAGTATGGTGTAATGCTGCACACGGGGCTGTTTTGTAGTCGTATCCATAAAGAAATTAACCCCAAGGTCCTTGTTCGAATCAAGGTGCTGCTGTGGCATTCTACATTTCCACTCCAAACCTTTTGGCAACTCGACTCAATTTTTTGTGAGTTCATGAGCTGTAGAATGAGAGAACGAAAGCAGTATATATGGTGTAAGACCGCATACGGGATTCTACTGAGGGGTCATGTGATCAGGTTAATTCCGAGGTCCTTGTTCGAATCAAGGTACTGCGCTGGTTTTTTCTTTTTACCTCACAATTTGACTCAATTTCTTGTAAGTGTAGGAGCATCGTCATAAGAAGTATGGTGTAATGCTGCACACGGGGTTTAAATGTAAGGATTTCTTCCAAGAGCTGTAACCCCGAAGCCCTTGTTCAAATCAAGGTACTGCTCTAGAACCCACTCTCTGCCCTTTTTTTGTCCCTTACAAGCACTGTAAGTTTCTTGCGGTTTTATGAGCCCTGGAATGAGGGAAGAAAAGCAGTATGGTGTAAATCTGCACGCAGGGCCCGCTTGCAATCTGTGTCAGGATGCGATGCTGCCCTGAGGTCCTTGTTCGAATCAAGGTACTGCTCTGCTGCCCTCTACCACGTCCTTTTATTTCTTGTGGGACACCACCAATTTTGCAGGGGTTTGCGAGGGAGTAAGGAGGGAAGGAAAGCAATATGGTGTAATGCAGCACACTGGGCCCACCCAAGCAGACCGGGACACCACAAATTTCGCAGCGGTTGCGAGGGAGTAAATTGAGTAAGGAAAACAGTGTGGTGTAATTCTGCACACGGGACCTTGGGTGTATTCCTCCTTACCTGGATCCCGAAGTTCTTGTTCGACCCAAGGTACTGCTCTGGCTGTAGCTAGCTCTTTTCTTCCTTGCAACTTGACTCAGTTTCTTGCATGTTTATGAGCCCTGCAATATACAGGGAAGGCAGTATGGTTTAATTCCGCACACAAAATTTCAATTCTCCATTCCAAGAAAGTTAATCCTGAACTGTACTGCTCTTTAGCTCTTTGTGTTCTTTTTTGTAGGCAAAGCTACTTAATTTTTTGGAGCCTGATGAGCCCTGGAACAAGAAAAAGAAAGCAGTATGGTGTAACGTCTGCACACGGGATTCCACTAGGCGGACACCGACACAGTGAATCCCGAGGCCCTTGCTCGAATCAAGGTGCTGCTCTTCTGCTGTCACACATCACTCTTTTGCTACGGGACACCATAAATCATACAGATGTTTGCGAGGGAGTAAGTTGGGTAAGGAAAGTAGTATGGTGTAATATCCGCAGACAGGGTTCCCCTAAGATGATTTGGAAGAAAATTAATCCCGAGGTCCTTGTTCGAATCAAGGTACTGCTCTGCGCGAACTCCAACCGGGTTTTTTTCTTCTTCACAACTTGACTCAATTTCTTGCATATATTTGAGTCATGGAATAAAAGCAGTATGGTGTAATACAGCATACGGGATTCCACTTGTGTTTTCCCAACAAACTTAATCCCGAGGTCCTTGTTCGAACCAAGGTACTGCTCTTTGCACCCACCACTCTGTTTTTCACCTCATAACCCAATTTCTTGTGGCTTCCTGAGCCTGAGAATAGGGCAAGGAAAGCACTATGGTGTACTGCTGCACACGGGATTCCACTAGGAAAATTGCAAGAAAGTCAGTTCTGAGGTCCTTGTTCCAACCAAGGTACTGCTCTTCTGAAGTTCTGTTTCAAAACCTCACACCTCTTTCCCGGCCGGACACCACAAATTGTGCAGAGGTTGGCGAAGGAGTAAATTGGGTAGGAAAGCAGTATGGTGTAACTCTGCACACGGGACCTTCTTACGAAAATTGGTTCGTTGTATCTGGAATTCCGGGGTCCTTGTTCGAATTAACGTACTGCTATTTCAAGACTTCACACCTCTTTTGCTGTGGGACACCACAAATTTTGCAGAGGTTGCGAGGGAGCAAATTGTGTAAGGAAAGTAGTATGGTGTAATGCCGCATACGGGGCTCCTTTGGGACATTGTGAAACCAACGTGTAATCCTAAACATGCATAATTTTATAAAGAGTGTGATTGTACCTGCACACATTTTTGTTAACCTGCAGCGGTACTCTTCCTTAGTTACCAAATCAGGTAAAGCTGTCTACACATGACAGCGGAGCTGTTCTGGTTCCGAGTTGGATGTCAACCTTGTGTGATGTGGAACAGCACAGATGCACTCTTCTTTGGGAACTCCAGCATTCTGAGTGCTGAACAAATTGATTATCTCTAAGCATCTTACGTGTGGAAGTCAATGGGTGCAATTTCAGGAGCTTTAATTTTTCGCACATTTTTCTAAAATTTAATCGCACATTGAAGCCGATGACAAAAATCTCTTTGCTTCTCTGACATTCATCGTGTGAAAGTGCAGGCTGTTCTCCACGAGGCGCTCAGGGTGACCACTCTTGTCTCCCACCTCCAGGTCCACTGCGAAGGAATACATCCTCCTCACTCTTTCTGTGGGTGGCTCTTTCTGCTATTTAATGTTCTCTTTGGCTCACATGGTGTTCCACCTACAGAAGATCCGTGATATAACAATCCATTTTGACCATGTATAGCCAGGGGAATGAAGTCAAGACCTTTGGTGCTAAATTCTCTATTAGTGGTGCGTAGGAATCTTGATTAGGATGTCAGCATCATGATATCTTGTCGCCAGGGGGCTATGGCGGCTCGGGTGGAGATGCCTATGGCATTGGTGGCAACGGGGGTAAAGGGGAGGGTCCCCAAGTGACAATGTATGTTGGTTAAGTGCCCCCTATTCCTTTTCCAAAGTCCTTTCTCAACAATGGCAGTGTGAACCAGGGTCAAGGGTTAATCAAATTTCCGAGGTCAATATCTGAGGCTGAATCATGTCTAGACTCGAAGAAGTTCTGTACAAGTGGTTGGAGTCTCCCCCTACTACGAAGGACAGACAGCATGAGTTGCAGAAACTTCGTTATGAAGTCTCTGGGAGCTGGTTCTTAGATGATAGCAGATTTATCAAATGGAAGACCACAGCCAGCTCTTTATGGATCAAAGGCATCTGTAAGTCAATTCCATTGTGTTCTAATCTCATGTCTAATCATCTGTTGCAGCTGGCACTGGAAAGAGTGTACTAAGGTGGGGTTCATATGACTATTGTACATAAGCTGCGTCTGACAATACCTACACGAGCAGTTCCACAGTTATCAAAGAAATCATCAAGGCCTGTTCCAACCGGTCCGCAGTTGCATATTTCTATTTTGATTTTAGGAACGAGAGGCAGCACATGGACATCATGCTCCGGTCAATTATCTGGCAGCTCTCTGCACGGTCGCCTTCTCCCTATAACTCTCTTGAGAAGCTGTATAAAACACTAGGAAATGGAACTACTCTACCGCAGCACAAAGATCTTCAAGAAGTTCTCAAGGGTTTATTTTCAGAGCTGGAACAGATATATATTGTCATTGATGGGCTCGATGAATGTAACAAGACCGACTGGAAGCACCTCATCAAGTTTATCCACAGCCTATGCCAGTTGGCCAAGGATAAACTGCACCTTCTGTTTACCAGCCAACCTCTTGAGGAATTCAAAAATGCATTCAAGGATGTAACTTTCATTGAGCTTGGTTCTGCGGTGTCAACAGATGACATTAGATCCTTCATTGGCAGTGAAATTCCCAAGATGGGAAATTGGACCAGTGATGAGAATTATGCAAAATATGTCACAGACCAAATTGTGCAGAAGAGCAATGGAATGTTGGTCTTCTTATTGTGATGTAATTTACCCTAAAACTAACTTGTATATTCAGGTTTCGCATGGCTGCTTGTCTTCTCATTGAATTGGGTGGTTGCTATTTCAAAGAGGATGTGGAGGAGAGCCTTGCTGGCCTCCCCGCTGATTTGTTCGGGATTTATAGCCATTTCTTAACCCGGGCAAAAGATTCTCTCAAAAAGACAGTTTTTATTCAAGCAATCTTCCGGTGGCTTGTGTTCTCTCCCAGAGAACTTTCAACAGATGAGCTGGCAGATGCCATTGCAATCCCCTTATCTGACCCCAAGTTTGACTTTTTGGACCTGGCCAAATCCATTTATGACCCAACTAGACGTGGAGGCAACATTGAAATCTTCAAATTGTTGGAGGGTCTGATCGTGATTAAAAACAAACACAGTGATAAATCAATCACCTTTGCACATTCATCTGTCAAGGATTATGTCCTTTCCCACGAATTCCAGCAAGAATTCAGCTCAGTTATTGACCTTAGCATTGATGCCTCCCACAAATTTATCACCCAAACTTGTGTCCGCTATCTCCTTCTGTTTGCAGACCTCAAACATTCAATGACTGAGGAGACACTCCCACACTACCCAATCTCATTGTATGCAGCAGAATATTGGTTCCACCACCTACAGCATTGCAATGAACAGGACCAGAGGGTACTACTTCCATCAACAATGTACCTCCTAAAGGATGGAAGCAGCCAGCAAGCAGCTTTGTACCAATTGCGTCCCTTGCATTATTATGAGACCCGTGCTTGGGATGAAACAATATCACCCGCAGTGTACATGTGCTGAAATTGGTTACACAAAGGGAGTACACTCTCTGCTTGTTGAACACAATACATCTCTCGACTTAGTCAACAGATATGGCCAGACTGCGCTGCATCTTGCATTGAGCAATGGTCACCTGGACATCGCGAGGCTGCTCATTGAACACAATGCACCTGTTGACTTAGCTGACGAAGAGGGCCAGACTGCACTGCATCTTGCATCAAGTGATGGTCACCTGGACATCACGAGGCTGCTCATTGAACACAATGCACCTGTTGACTTGGTCAACAGATATGGCCAGACTGCGCTGCATCTTGCATTGAGCAATGGTCACCTGGACATCGCGAGGCTGCTCATTGAACACAATGCACCTGTTGACTTAGCTGACGAAGAGGGCCAGACTGTGCTGCATGAAGCATCGAGGAATGGTCACCTCAACGTTGTGAATGGCGAGACTGCACTGCATCTTGCATTGAGCAATGGTCACCTGGACATCGCGAGGCTGCTCATTGAACACAATGCACCTGTTGACTTAGCTGACGAAGAGGGCCAGACTGTGCTGCATGAAGCATCGAGGAATGGTCACCTCAACGTTGTGAGGCTGCTCATCGAACACAACACACCTGTTGACGTAGTCACCAAATATGGGCAGACTGCGCTGCATCTTGCATCGAGCCATGGTCACCTCAACGTTGTGAGGCTGCTCATTGAACATGGCACACCTGTTGACTTTGTCAATGAAGATGGCCAGACCGCACTGCATCGAGCATTGAGCAATGGTCACCTGGACATTGTAAGGCTGCTCATTGAACACAATGCACCTGTTGACTTAGCTGACGAAGAGGGCCAGACTGCACTGCATCTTGCATCAAGTGATGGTCACCTGGACATCACGAGGCTGCTCATTGAACACAATGCACCTGTTAACTTAGTCAACAGATATGGCCAGACCGCACTGCACCTTACATCGAGTGAAGGTCACCTGGACATTGCGAGGCTGCTCATCGAACACAATGCACCTGTTGACTTAGCTGACAAATATGGCTACACTGCGCTGCATCAAGCATCAGGAAATGGTCAGCTCAACGTTGTGAGGCTGCTCATCGAACACAACACACCTGTTGACGTAGTCACCAAATATGGCCAGACTGCGCTGCATCTTGCATCGAGCCATGGTCACCTCAACGTTGTGAGGCTGCTCATTGAACATGGCACACCTGTTGACTTTGTCAATGAAAATGGCCAGACCGCACTGCATCGAGCATTGAGCAATGGTCACCTGGACATTGTAAGGCTGCTCATTGAACACAATGCACCTGTTGACTTAGCTGACGAAGAGGGCCAAACTGCACTGCATCTTGCATCAAGTGATGGTCACCTGGACATCACGAGGCTGCTCATTGAACACAATGCACCTGTTGACTTAGTCAACAGATATGGCCAGACTGCGCTGCATCTTGCATTGAGCAATGGTCACCTGGACATCGCGAGGCTGCTCATTGAACACAATGCACCTGTTGACTTAGCTGACGAAGAGGGCCAGACTGTGCTGCATGAAGCATTGAGGAATGGTCACCTCAACGTTGTGAGGCTGCTCATCGAACACAACACACCCATTAACTTAGTCACCAAATATGGCCAGACTGCACTGCATCTTGCTTCGAGCTATGGTCACCTTAACATTGTGAGGCTGTTCATCAAACACAACACACCGGTTGGCTTGTTCAATGAAGATGGCCAGACCGCACTGCACCTTACATCGAGTGAAGGTCACCTGGACATTGCGAGGCTGCTCATCGAACACAATGCACCTGTTGACTTAGCTGACAAATATGGCTACACTGCGCTGCATCAAGCATCAGGAAATGGTCAGCTCAACGTTGTGAGGCTGCTCATCGAACACAACACACCTGTTGACGTAGTCACCAAATATGGCCAGACTGCGCTGCATCTTGCATCGAGCCATGGTCACCTTGACGTTGTGAGGCTGCTCA